TATAAGACACGTATTTTTTTATTTTCTCTCATAATTCTCTATTACACAAATAATTACATAGTGGTCTACCCACCTTTCAATAACGCTAGTGAGTCTCTCGGGGCACTCCGGGTACTGGTCGTCCCACAGACATCGGTGCTCAGCCATACGCGGTTCCGTTACGAGTCCCGTCGCCCCCTTTACTTTAGTCTTAGAATCCATGGCCTGGAAAAAATTAGGTACCTATATTAAGTCATTGCTTTAGTTAATAGTCATAAATTTTTAGAAAATAATCTACTAATTTGTTTGTCTGAAGGTGTTGAACTCAAAAACTGCTGAACGTATTTTCATGCGGTTTTCCGAAATAAGTAGGGGTGATTCAGGAGGAAGGTTTTAATGTTTAATTCGTAAGGACTTGAGTATTGACTACGGATAGCTAAGCCGAATTTGAGTAATGGTACATCTCGATCGAATTACCACAAAATTAATATGCTTTTTTTAAGTCACATTTACAAAAAGGTAACAACCGTTCCCTACTAGAGGCATATACAATAAAAAATATACATATACAATAAAAAACAAAAATACGTACTTAGCATATCAAAACCATATACACAATTAACTGTAATCTTAATTACATAAGAGTAACGCCAACGGCCATAAACATGTTCACATTCATATAATTTAGGGCAATAAAAGTTTATAACTACGAAAACTGTTCGGCCATCTTGCTTTAGAAATTAAACTGTGAAGTTTGATAACGATAAAAGAATAAGCGAAACAGGTAGAGAGAGAATATAGAACTCAAAATTAAATGCATGTACTGCCTCGTTGGCCTAGTGTCGCAAATACTACTACCGGGCAAGGGATCTCGGGTTCGATTCCCGGGTCGGGCAAATGTTTACTGGGGTTTTTCAATAAATCTCAGTAGTAGCACGGAGTCTGGAAATGTGCCCGGTATATGGCAATAGGCTCACCCCCCTATTACATGGGACTCATAACATAAATAGTGAAAAGTGGGTGTTACATTGTACAGTGGTATAATGTGCACCTCTGGCTACCCCTTCGGAGATAAAAGGCGTTATGTTATTATGCTACGTGTGATTATAAAGCAAGCAGCACTGTTCAGTACCTCCACAATAACTAAATACTTACAATTTGATAGTGATCTCTGAGTTCGATCACAAAATTATGTTTCTTCTTCTGTTGGGCTTTTCGTTTCGCAGCAATTACAGATGCTGATGGCTGTAAAAATAACATAATTATTTCATTATTTTAATGATTTTCAATACCTAAATACTATATTTATCGTTATGTTTTCGGGTTTCTCACGTAAATATTTGACGAGGAACTCGACTAGTTCCAGGCCATGGTAGAGGCTCTATCATGGTAGAGATTCATGATTAGTATTCCGCGACACACGACGCGGCGACTGTCAGCTGTAGCAGCGCGGCAACTTGAACTCGCTTAGAGTTCCTCGTCTCCGAACTTCTAAGTAATTTACTATGTCTCACAAAAGTTATAATATTAACCCAAGATACATCGCATATAGACGCTTAACACATACTTAACAATACAAAATTCAATAATACTTTTGTCAAAATGGCATTACATTCTAGAGCAACTACTAGAGCTTTTCTCAGTATATGAGTTGTAGAGTTATTTTTAGTTAACACATTCCGTATTGGCCAAAGTATTATTTTATTTCAATTCTCAGGCTATTGATATTTTTGTGCTTGTTTGATTTGCAGAATATAGTAAGTAAAGCTGTGTATAATTGGGTAGTGTAGTTTCCACAGTCAAAAACTATTTATTTTGACTTTTAATACAGTAAAATGTTTTAAAATAATCACGCTTTTAATTGATTGACACCTGGAAACGACAGATGTGAAGTTATGAAAATCCTGCACACAACAATGACAATCCTGTGTCCAGTGTCAAAGACAATTTTATGATTTATGTAAAAAATGAAAAAAAAAAAATACATTTTTATAATAACTATCGTGAGACATACTAAATTAAGTCGCGGCGATTAAGTAGGCTGCGCGACAAAGCTGCGACCGCGCACGCCGCTCACGAGAAATAACCCCTCTGTGGTTCGAAACTAGTAGAGCTTTTTTCAGTATATTTACGTGAGTATTCCGCGATTTATATTAAAAATATTTTTTCTATAATAAATTGAAAAGATATACCTATTTAAAATTTTTTTTTTTATAAAACATGATAGCCTGTGCTAATATCATATCAAAATGTATTCTTATGAAGAGTTTCATTTTAACTAAACTCCTAAAACATGATGATAGCCTGTGCTAATATCATATCAAAATTTATTCTTATGAAGAGTTTCATTTCAATTAAACTCCAAGTTATGAGCTCATCATATTGTAAGTCAGTTGCTAATAACTTATCTCGTTCATTAAAAAACATATTGTAATAGTTAATAGAACATAGGAACTGCATGATCGCAGTGCAGTGGCTGGTCAACAGGCTGCCACACAACGTTTAACAAGTTCAATTCCCACACAGTGCAACTCTTTGTGTTTCGGGTCTGTGTGTCATGGGTATGTGATCGTATGTTTGTAAACGCACCCACGACACAGGACAAAATACAAGAGTGAGGCAACAGTTTTTTAAAAAAAGGAAAGTTAAAGTTAGCGCTATCCAAGAAAATATAGAAATGGATTGTATTAAATTCTTTGTGCCCGTTTATGGAGCTTTGTGTGTACAATGTACATAATAAAGAAAAGGATAAATAGGCTAATTGTATACAGTGTATTGAGGTTGTGAGACATTGTGAGTAATATGAGTCAGAGGTCATAACCTTCTTAAAGTGCTGATTGTACTCTAATTTAATGGTATAGTGGTGGATGTGGAGTTGCAACATCATACAATGTTGTATTGTACATACAAGTATTAGCTCCGATGTACAATTAAAACATTATTACAATCTTCATCTCTTCTTTAAATGTAACAAATTCAAAACTATTCTACATCTATTACATTGTACAATTTTTTTCGCAAATAATATTGTTTTGATTTGCTTTCTCTATGAAGTTTTTTTAAGTTTCAATTACTATTACTATAGTTCTGTGATATCAAGTGTTTCTATAAGAATTCGACAAGGCGCAACTTCAGATCTAGTCTAGATAAGATAAAAATCTTTGGGATTTATAAAACTAATTTACCACAGCTCAACTTAATTATCAATAAGATCGTGGCAAATTTTCTTTTATACCATGCAGTTACAATACGAGCAAAAGATCCACCTGATGGTAAGCGATAATTGTGGTTTCTGTTATTATAAGGTTTTTTATAATTACTGGATTATTATAAGAAGATTAAGTTGTAGCTTTAAATTCTGTAAGCCTATATAGGTTTAGGTTTAAAGAATCTTTATTCTCAATAATAACATACATGCCACTTACTTGAGAACATAACAACATAGGTAGGTAAGGTTAGGCTCGACAACATCTGGACAAAACATGACAACAAATAAGTCCCATCCAACACATTCATTTTTCAGGTATTTGATTAAGAAGTAAATATTTGTAAAGCTGAGTTTTGAATGTGTTGAATGAGTGCAGGTTTCTTATGCATGAAGGTATTTTATTATAAAGCTGTGCTCCTTCAAATGTGAGCATTTTTTTGCCATAATTTGTTCTTATTTTTGGTAAAACCAATAGACTTGCTCGCCGGGTACTTCGTTGAGTGACTTGTTTGTGTTGTGTAAGAGTAATATTTGAATGTATGGTTTTGTCAAGAACTTTTTTGATAAAAATGCATATGTTGTAAGTGTATAATTGTTTTATATTCATTAGTTTTGTGTCTTTGTATATCTTTGTCGTTGCTGTTAGGTACGGATAGTTGAAGAGCATTTTTATCAGTTTATTTTGTGATTTGTAGTTGCGACAGTTTTGTTTTTGGTGCACTGCCCCATATTTCAATCAAGTATAACAAATGTGGCTTCACTAAAGAATTATATATAGTGTACCATAATCTTTGTGGAATACATCTGACTATACTGTGCAGTGCTCCGACTATATTGCTATTAAAATCCTTAAATACTACTGCATTATTAATTAAAGGTTGCTTACCAGAATCTATTCAGCAAGTATTAATTTAAAAACTGAATTGTATTGGAATTAATGTAATCATTCTCACAAGCTAATTAAGAATGGACTGCTCTGTATTTAACTGATAATTAAATATCTTGCTTGCAATATACTCTTGTATCTTTAATGAGATAACACAGTTATCTATGCAATAAGATTACACACACAGTTTACCATATATTTTACTATATTAAATTATCTACAAAACAAATAAGTATTCAAGTAATTAGTAGTTCTGAAATTATAATGTATGTATATGTATGTATCTGAAATCATACTTTTTCTTGTTTATGTGTTTCATTCATCTCAGTTCCTATTATATTAAAATCTTGGCTACATGTGTTACTGTTATTAGATTGACTCTCACACAGTGAACTAATGTCTCAATCAGTAAGGCATTTAGCTATAGATACGGTATTTGTATGCATAGCATGACATCTAGTTTTGACCCTACGTGTAGGCGGCGGCGCATTATATTGACAATTTATTACCTACCTTAGCACCTGCGGACATTGCGCGCGTTTGTATCTTGGCCTTGCGAGCACCATTTCTGGTCACAACGCTAGACGCAGGCGGTGCCTTTTTACTCTCTCCTGATGAACGCCGCGGCTGCTGAGGCGGTGGGGTCGACTGAACAATACCAAAAAATTTATAACAAACTCACTAGCGCGCCAAGTCTAAAATTTTGCAGTATGTTTTTAACCTTACCATTATGACAATAGAACCAGTCAATAGTTCACAAAAATCACATTCACCGAAAGTATTTGTAAACTATACAGTCATTGTTAATTGGAGTTTGCGGTAGCCAAAACAATACTCATTGTATGTAATCAATCGGAAAGTAAAAATCGCGGTGCTGGAGCCAGCCAGCAGTGACAAGAATTTGCATATGGTTTTGACAGTTACCTTCATACAGATTATTAGAGATACAGATATTAAATAAATAAAAATGTTAACGTTCGGATACTACATATCACTTGATGCTCGATTTCGATTTCATCCTTGATTTATGATTTTTATTATCCTATTATTTCTGATCCACACTCAATTTGATCGTAATTATAATATGCCTAATTTTAACATAATATAAAACAATATAACTTTGAACTTAGTTATACTAATTTAATTAAATAATAAAATAAGAATAATCAACTAATACTCGAGTATAATCGATTCAAATGAAAAATCGACTAAAACAGTTACCGAATGAAACTTTATGAAGGTCAATGGAATCAAATGACATTCCACAGACAGAAGATTACCAAATGAATGACAGAAAATTGAAAATAAAGAATTTTCAAAGGGGTTTCATCACATTCGTGACAAATCACAATAAAATGTTAGTTTTGAGTTAAAAAGTGTTTATTTACAGTTAATATAATTTTTACAAGGGTTTACAGTGACTAATTTGTTTACAACATTGTTATTCTACACATTCGGTATGTTATTCTATGACCAACCTATACGTGCTGCTAAATAAAAAACCATTTAGCTATTGCGAAAGGAAGGAAATTTTGCAAAACATCAATTACTGCGCATATCATAATGTCCTGTAGTAATTTCTGAAGAAAAATGTACCGTTAAGTTTCTTATGGTACTTTCTAATATGGCCTTTATTTATACGCGATACAATACATTATCGCATGTGAAAGTTGTTCACCATCACAGTGTAAGTCGATAATGTAGTAAACATCAAAAGACAGCCTATGTGTACCTATAATTATATGTGTATGAACTTAGTTTAATCAGTTGATGGAATATTTTCCCAATTAACACATGTATGTGATAAGCTGCTATTCCTATTATAACATTTGACTTTATATAAATTATATATAAATTTAAAAACATATAGAACTTCAAAATGCTTGGAAAAATATATTATTTTTATTCTTGTTACTATGTATACATTTTCAATAAATTTTAGTTTTTAATACTGCTATATATAAGACATAATTTTCAATATCTCTTACAGAAAGAAATCATATGAAGATGAAGCTCTTAAAGAATACTTGGCCTCTGCGGCTGGGGCACAGGAAGAAATTGAGTCGCTGCGTAAGCACCTGGTCTCCATTGGCCACTGCCTTCAACACTCGACCAACATCTAGACCTATTTTTGACTCAATGCGAGAAAGAACTGTAAGCAAAGAGTATTTACATTGAAACCATCTTTAAGGCGAATTCTTTTCTATTTTTCTACTGGTCTTTTCCCAGTCAGTTGTTATGTAATAGTAGTGTATGAAAATATTTCATTAGATACAAGGATTTAAATTGATATTTTATTTTCAAGGTTTCCCGTAAAAATATGTCGGAACTATATTTTGAAACAGTTAGTATTTCAAGTGTGTGTTCTAATGTAGAGTAGATAAATATTTGTAAATAAATAAATAAATCGAGTGTCGCTATGCACACAAATATCCAAAGTTGGTAAAAAGACAATGCACTAACAAATGTCTGAATGAAGAATGTTGAATGTTATATTAAATTGTTATTTTGCTAAATCGTTACCTCCTGAAACATTGTTTATATATTCTAGAACAACACCAATACCAAACCACATCTTTTTGTACCTGTTTGTTCATTACCAAAATTCATAAATTTTCTGAAGAGTACTGTTCTCGAATTAGGCATTCTACTTAGCATACCTCAGCCCTCAATCTAAAAACATAAACATATAATTCACTATATTATTTTATAAGTGTGGGAGAGCCATGCTTCGGCACGAATGGGCCGGCTCGACCGGAGTGATACCACGGCCTCACAGAAAACCGACGTGAAACAACGCTTGCGTTGTGTTTCGTCGTGTGAGTGAGGTTACCGGAGGCCCAATTACCTTCCCCTTCCTCAATCTCCCCAATCCCTGAATCCCCAACGAACCTCAAACTTCTAATCCCCAAAAAGCCGGTGACGCACTTGTAACGCCTCTGGTGTTCCAGGTGTCCATGGGCGACGCCGATTGCTTACCATCAGGTGATCCGTCTGCTCGTTTACCGGCTTATGCCATAAAAAAAAAAAAACAAAAATATGAGTAACAATAATACATTATGGTGAATATGAGCCACAAATTATACACAAGTAACATTGCCTTGTTTCCAGGGACTCTTCAACAAGCCAGAACTAGTTAGTTTCGAAGGGTTCTTCAGTATGAGAGATCAGGCAATTGCGGCCACAGACCGATTGATAGAGGAGGCTACTTCAAACCCAACCCGTCCCATGGTGGAGATTTTTGATGAACTGTCCGATACCTTGTGCAAGGTGGCTGATCTAGCAGAGTTTGTGAGGATAGCTCACCCACAGTCCCATTTCGCAAGTGCTGCTGAAGATGCTTGTATTAGTGTTAGCGGTGTTGTTGAAAAGTAAGTCACCTATAATATCCTGTTTAAATTTTTTTTTACACATAACATTTCGCCTTTTATCCTCCAAGCCGTAGGCAGAGGTGCACATTACGGCACTCCTGTACAATTCCATCTAATAGGGGGAGAGTCTATTGCCATATATCGGGTACAATTCCAGACTCCGCGCTACTACTAAGAGCGTTTTTTCAAAACCCAGTAATACTTTGTCCGATCCGGGAATTTCGAATCCCGAACCACTTGCCCGCAGTCGACTTGCGACCATTCAGCTAACGAGGCAGTTTTTTTTTATTTTTTGGATAACTCAATTAATTTTCTTCTTTCAATGTCTAGATTAAACACTCATAAAGGACTTTACGAAGCATTAAGAGACTCTGTAAAGCGCGGGACGTCAGGGGACCAGCATTTAGCTGAGTTATTCCTCTTCGACTTTGAGCAGAGTGGCATCCAGTTAGCTGAGGAGCGACGTCGAAGGGTCGTAGCTCTGAATGACCTTATACTTCAAACTGGACAGAGGTTTATGGCAGGAGCGGCGAAACCGAGAAGGGTACCACGGTCTGTTGTACCTGCTAATATTAGACAATTGTAAGTATAATTATGTAAAAGACTATATTATGAGCAACGTGCGCGGTCGAGGCGATGTCTCGCAGCCTACTACTCCACTACAGTAGGATGCGCGACACGCTGCTAATGAGGAAGAATTCCTCTGTGGTTCGAAATTAGTAGGGCTTTTCTCACGATTTTTAGTTAATATAGTATGTCTCACGATAGTTATTATAAAAAGACATTTTTTTTTTCTGTACCACAGTAAAAAGATATATCATTGAAGGAGTTTTTTTTTTGATATCTTCTGGTCTCATAGTGACGTCTGGTACATTTGTAAATATCCAAGAAATGCTTTAGACTTCACATTTTTTAGTAGTGGGTTCATTCCAGATGAAAACATTTGCTTAAAAAATGAGAACAAATAAACAATGAAAGTGTATTGTTTCCAGTTTCAGTAGCGAAGGTGACGATATAATAGTGAGCGGCGTGTACGCGGAGTGCGGCGAGGCGGCGGCGCGCGAGGCGGCCTACCGGCTGTACCTCGCGCCCGACGCCCTGCAGCACCAACTACTGTCCACCACCCTCGATGCCAGGCACGAGATGGCTACTATATGCGGCTTCCAGAGCTATGCTGATAGGTACGAATAAGTATTATTGGTTCTGGATAGATCCAGCTGTTATAGATAGATGAGACAATCTAGAGGTATATAAAAATGAAACCCGTTTCCCGTTGTCACGCCATAACTTGAGAATGGCTGGACCGATTTGGCTGATTTTCTTTTTGTTGTGTTTGTTATTGTCAGGAGAAAGTTCTTATGATAGAAAAAATCCTGAAAATCTGAACGGGAACGGGAGTAAACGGGATTGCGCGTACGAAGTCGCGGAAAGAAGCTATTAGGTATTATATAATTATAATACATAGATATACAAAGATTTTTTATTTCTGTCTGTATATTGACTATGTCCTCTACATATTTCAATATAATAATAAATAAATAATAATAATGAATGTTATATGCATTTGCCCTTAAATATTTTATTTCACAGGGCAATAAAAGCGAGTACAATGGAGACAGCGGCGAATGTGAGACAGTTCCTTGATATCCTTTCGGATAATCTGTACGACAGAGCGAAGATGGACTTTGATGCTATGCTGCAAATGAAGATGATGGAAACTCCATATTTGAATTCCTTAATGTGCTGGGACACGCCGTACTACACTCACAAAGCGAAGGCACAACTCCTGAATGTGGCTAACTCAGACTTCAGTCCTTATTTTTCATTGGGCGGTTGCATGGAAGGTTTGAACATGCTCTGTGAAGAGTTGTACGGCATCAGTTTGAAGTCCGAGGAGATGTTGCCAGGTAAGGTATCCATTTGTTTATTAATTTACATGTATAATAATGTCTTCTATTCTGCTAGCAATAAACTCAAAAACGGCTGAACGATATTTTACGTTGCCATGGATAGAGTGAGAATCGCGTTTAAAGCGTGTGTACATATATATAATTTATGAATCTTTGATTACACACATAACATAACATCACGCCTTTTATCCCTGAAGGGGTAGGCAGAGGTGCACATTACAGCATTGAATGCAACTTACAATGTAACATAAAGTTTTCACTATTTATGTGATACTATGTATGAGACTTATAGTCTCATGTAATAGGGGGTGAGCCTATTCCCATATACCGGGCACATTTCCAAACTCCGTGCTAATACTGGAATTTTTAAAAACCCAGTAATACTCTGCCTAACGCGGGAATCGAACCCGAGATCCCTTGCTCGGCAGTTGCACTTGCGACCACTCGGCCAATGGGGCAGTTTACACACTTAGGTGAAACTGTAGATAGAATACGATAAAATGGAAGTTAAATTAACACCTTGTTTTCGTAGGTGAATCCTGGTCGCCGGACGTGTACAAGCTGGCAGTGGTGCACGAGTCGGAAGGTCTGCTGGGCCACATCTACTGCGACCTGTACGAGCGGCCCGGCAAGCCTCACCAGGACTGTCACTTCACCATACAGGGGGGGAAGCTGTTGCCTGACGGAAGCTACCAGGTTTGTGTACTATGTTTCCTATACATATTTTTAATGTCATATATTTATGTTATTGGTATCCTTTTCTAGGACACTGTTTTTGTAATAGTTTTTTTTTTTTCTTGTTTTTCCTAACATTATTTTGTTTCAATGTTTTTTTTTTTTTTAATATTTTAATACATAGTTCTTTTCTTAATGTTTAGTTATTGTGCATATAAAATACTTTTCGGTTTTAAAATTACATCATAATATGAGTAAAATGTTTTTCTTTACATACTCCTTCATACCAAAATTGAGTCTATGACTTCCAAAACAAGTACTGGCGAATATTATCAGTACTGTACTCACTTTCTATGGCATTATAAACCCTAGAATGTAGTGACGATTGGTCCGTTGGTTCCGCAGAACCCCATCGTGGTGGTGATGTTGTCGCTGAGCGGCGGGCACCGGTCGGGCCCGGCGCTGCTGTCGGCGGGCGGCGTGGACAACCTGTTCCACGAGCTGGGCCACGCGCTGCACTCCATGCTGGGCCGCGCGCCGCACCAGCACGTCGCCGGCACGCGCTGCGCCACCGACCTCGCTGAGGTGCCCTCCGTACTCATGGAGTACTTCGCCAGCAGTCCACAGGTATGCTCGTCTTGATTACCAGCTAAAATAATTCTAAACACGATGGATTCAAATCAATTTGTAACTGAAATTTTTTGTTACAAATTTTTATTTCATTTTATTATATTAATTGACAGACTTCGAAAAAAGACTGGTACAGACTATGGAACGCCAATTGCTACGATTCTTACATTTTACTTTGTCAATTGTTATCAGTCTTTTCATGCATGCTCGTCGGTTAAGGATACTTTTAATTTGTCCCTTCTTTAATATACCTATAGTCGATATGGGGCCCAACAGGGCCGATGCCGATTCGAAGTCGCGGAGAATCTAACGGTTTACCGGGGCTCCGGCTCGACGTGCAGGAGATGGAACGGGGTGGTTTTTAGTCAGTAAGAGTCTGACACTCACTTCCGATTTTCCCCCCTTAAAAAAAAATCCTTGTCGAGAAATAATACGTTCGTCCGTATGTACCATAAACCTATATTAAATTCTGTATAATAAATACAGGTCATCCGTCGTTTCGCCCGTCACTTCCAAACGCGGGAGCCGATGCCTGAAGATATGCTGAACCGGCTCTGCGCTTCTAAACATTTATTTGGAGCAAGCGAAATGCAGCTACAGGTAATTTAAGAAACCTACCTTTCTACCTTAGACTGATCAAACAAAATTAGGCCTTAAGTACCTAATTATAGTGATAGTTTTCGTTTAACACTGTTAGACTGGTATAAGAAAAAATTAACCTTAATCACGTTATTATAGTGTTAATTTTCATTTGCCCAGGTGTTCTATTCAGCATTAGACCAGCACTACCATGGGCCAGAAGCATCATCTCGTGGCAGGACAACAGAAGTATTGCAGAGAGTGCAGAAACAATATTATGGACTCCCTTATGTTGAAAATACTGTGAGTTCATCTTTGTACCATTAATAGTAGATGCTAGTAAATACCTAGGGAGGAACACTAAAAATGATGGTGAGTTAGGAACCTTCACAGGCCTTCACTATAGGTCAGTCTTAAGCTGTGCCATAATTTTATCTCTACAGGAACAAAGTACACTTTACAACAGCAAGTAAGGCAAATGAACAGATATCTGAGGCCTACAAGCTAGTTTATTATATTAGTAAGATTTAAACAAAATATTCTGGTTTTAATTATATTTATTCTTTTTTCAGGCCTGGCAGCATAGGTTTAGCCACTTAATAGGGTACGGCGCGAAGTACTATTCATACCTGATCTCCCGCGGCATCGCGTGGAGTGTGTGGCACAAATATTTCCAGGATGAACCACTGTCCAGGACAGCTGGAGATAATCTCAGACATGGATTGTTACGTCATGGAGGCGCTGTGCCACCTAAGGTAGGTTGAAGAGGGAATATCGTGATTTTTTTTTAATTTGATGGGCTAACGTGTGACCATTATGTCGCGTGGTGGTAAGCGATGATGAGGTCTACAATGGAGCACGTCGACGCATAAGCAACCTATTCACTCTGGCCTTGAAGACACCAAAGTTATACCCTCTAGGAAACACAGAATGGCAAAGAATTCAACTCCTTAGCAGTACGCACAAGGAAGCTTGATGCGAAGCGCTTCGTGTGTGAATCGTTGACGCTTCGCCAATTGTCTTGTGGTCGTTCATTATGATGCTATGCATTGATCTTTAGGTGTATCAGTGAATGAGTGAGATTCATATTAAATGCTTGAGATAACTATGACGTTTATTTTTTCTAAAATCCAAATTTATGAAGAAACAGATGTGAGAACCATATCTTGGGACTTACTCTCAATATGAAAGCGAAACGCTGAAGTTACTAAGAAAATAACTACATAGAATAAAAAAAAACTAGCTGTACATTTTTATTTTTATCGATGGTTACTATAGACAGCTTTATTCTTTATTCATTCACAATTTCCTTCTACAGATTTTACTTCGCGACTATTTACAAGAAGAAGTGACGCCTACCACGCTAGCTAACGCTCTTGCAGAGGAACTCGACTACCACAAGGACCATTTAGACACCGTACTCAAAGTTATCAACAAATGATCTTCATTACTCATTTATACTTCAAAATCTACATGAAAATTGAATTGTTTCATATCATTTGATTGTAAAAATTGAAATTGAGGAGGTCGTTCCCTTCTGAGAAGGGGTGATAGGCAAATTAGGTGTTAAATAACGAGCATTTAAAGTTTAAAAATGTCATAATACACACATATAGATAGAATTGAATATATCTTCTTTCTAGCCTTGTCCCAAGTTAAAGTAGTTGCAATATGTCTTTCTTCCATTTTCCGCAATCAGACGTTAGAACACACTGTGATAAATGTTAACATAATAAGTTTCACTTCATTGGTCGCTTATCACGAATCGTTCAATCAATTTTTATTACATGGCAATACTTTAAAATCTAAAAAAAATAAAAGGATTCTTGGTACTTCCATTGTCTACCTTTTACAACATGGACTGAAATCTGATCTGTTTTACTTTGCAAAATCATTCGATTTGGAGTTAGGCATCTGTAGTAGTAAGTTAACGTCAATGCAGCATATATTTTTTTCGATTTTACTGTTGAACTGTCTTATATGAAATTATTTGAATTTGTCTGTGAATATGTTGTACTGTACATATTGTAAATGTTAAATAAATTATTTATAGTGTAACTTGTTGGGATATTTTCTTCAGTATTATGTAGCGAAATTACTTATTTAAAAACAGATCGTTTAGTTTCTGATATGTATCATATTAATTGTTGTGAAGTTTAGAAGCTAAATGTAATTGCTATGACAAACGACCCAGGGATATTTGAAAGGAAAGTCCTGCAAAGCTTTTATATCTGTAAATCTTCATCACTGAATTCTTGGCCACTTGTGAATACACAAAAAAGGATAAATAAAACAATGACGGAAAATTATAAATAGTTTAATTAGTGATCCCTCCAGAAACAGACACGCGGGGACAAACACAAACTGGATAACTCGACACGAAGCCCAGCCATCGGCAATATGGCGGCCGTACATATCGGACACTGCCAGCTTCGTTGCAACACGGCAACCACAAGGGGTTGTCGTGAATTCAGTTTCTTATGCTATTAAGTTCAAATCTAAACAGTAATTAAATGTAAAAAGTATACCTAAAAACGCAACGTAGCTGACAAGTTGTTAACTGAAGTAAAATCATAGATATTATAAAGTTGATGTTATTTAAAACATCTGTGCTGTGAACGTATGCACTTACCTCCCAAGTTTTGAGAAAATGAAGTAATGTGATAAATAAAATTATTTCCTGAAATCATAACTGGTCCGTTTCAAGTGGAGGGTACTCGATTCTCTAATATCACACTTTATATCTCTAAGGTGTAATTATTATATAATTATTTATATTATATAGCGCACAAGTCGGACCCAGAGCTTTATACCTCTTTACTGCAGCTATTGGCTCGAGGAAAGGGACTGTTGTTCTACACTCAAAGACCTATATATTTTAGAATATGTTTTTATCATAACTTCTGTAGCACTTATTACGTTAATCACATTCTTTGAGTGTAGAATTTCATCGAAAAGCTGTAACTTACGAGCTATCAGATATATAGTCGGCCATTCTAGAAGTCTTTTAAATTCTACTGAATTAGTTATTGAACATTGACCCAGTAAACCAAATTATAATTTCCACTGTTACGGTATTAGTATGGGAACTACTAGGGATAATAGACAATAGTGTAGCCACGGAATATTCCGTCAACTTTAATACTAAGACACTGTAAACGAGAACAATGATTCTCAAGTTAAATTAGAGATGGGTAACTATTAGTTAAGTATGAATAGTTATCAAAAATTACGGACATAACTGATAAAATACCCTAATGGCAGTTTTTCAATATATTTCACATACATCTATCAATAGTAGTATGAATGTGTATTTTACCCATCTCACTTAACTTGTATACTGTAACGACACACGTAGGGAAGCGAAAGAATGTACATCGGCGGAGTTTGTGTAAGCTGTCGACTACTGAACGCATTGAACGCATGGATCACGGTCTGTACAGGCTTGCACGGCTCGGCGAGACTTCATGAGGCATTGTCACCACGACACACATATACGACTCGATTTATGTTTCACCAACATACTTCTGCATTTATACCTTGAAGGTACAAAGCCAGTCATTGTAGGTAGATGCTGCTAAACGGGTCATTTAGTATAGAAAAGATAAAAGAAAATTAATAATTAGATAAGGGATTTGAAATTAATAAGTAGGGTAGCATAATCAAGAAATTTTGGTACATCAAAATCATGTACCTGAAAAATGTAAGGGGAAAAGTTTACACCTTTTCTACGTAGAAGGGGAGTACGAGACCTTATAGGGAAATATCGAGAATATTGGATAAAATGTGGCTCATTTAGAAACAGCATTCATTAAGTCGGTTGTAAGTACACATTGTTGAAACATGGTATAGAGATGAGACATTTATTGAGCTTGAGTTTAGCGGCGGTGTCGCAGTGTGATGGTGACGCAGTAGCGCGGTCGGGGCGGCGACGCAGCGTGGCCGCTGTGGGCCGGATATTACGCCACGTAGTTGTACTGGTTCGGGTTGTCTTTGTCGCGCTCCATGTAGTCCCGGTCGATCAACGATTCTATGCGTTTCTTCAGGTCCGCAGGCTGAAAAAATATAATAATTATTTTAATAGCCCTTTAGATTCGAGCCCCAACCACCGGTAGCTAGGCCCATGCTCCCGCTACTGGTCGGCTCCTATTTTTTATATTTTTAAATATTATTTTTTATTTTATAAGTAGTATTTAAATCTGTAATTTATAGAGAATTTTAAATAAATAGATGTAAATTTTAATAGCTTAGTTTTGTGTGATATTTTTTACCTAATAAATCTGAGCGTAAAGTTTAATGAGGTGTCTCGTTTTTTTTGTTCACTAGAAGGCTAGAGATTGTTGTCCAATTGAATTATTTGACTTTAGGAAATAATTTATTGTATACAATGAAATATGTACATAACGTATTTAAATAGAACTCTCAGTGACTTGGGATGAGCAAAAAAAAAAAGAATGCTTCAGTTACCTTGACGGGGAACTTGAGTTGGTTATAGAGTTCAGATATGAGCAGGTTGTGTGAGAGTGCCTTGCGCATCTTCATGACTCGTACGATGGCGGCGTCGATCTGGTACTGTCTGTCTTGGAACACACGCTCTTCTGTCGCCTTCTGTTCTTCACTCTGAAATTATAATTATTTACGTTAATTGTTTGTTGGTAGGCTATCCTAAGCGGGGAAATCACGGTATATTCTCCATTTCCAAGGAGAATTTTTATCTAACAGAGGTCTTTGATGATTATTTGCATGTAGTATGCTTCTTGTTTTAATACCAGAATAATTTTCATGGTACATTCATTTCAATGTTCAGGTTATAATTCAACTTTAAAAAGAAACGTCTACATATCTGTGTGAATACAAAAAACAATATTCTAGGTAATTAAAATGGGCATTAATAAGTTATAATATAACCTACATAATTATAATAAAAGGCGGGAGCCTAATAAATAACCTATTTTACAACAAAATGGTAGGTGTTTAAGGGAAAAAATTAAAAGTAGTACATACAGTCTCTTTCATCTGTATCTGGTTGATCTTGATGCGGAACAGTTTGTTGGTGAAGTCGGCGTTGAAGGAGAAGTGGTCGGAGTCGTGCACCTCCCGGCCGCGCGGCGCCTTGCTCAGCACGCGCGCCTTGCCGCACGCCAGCGACTGCAGCGTGCGGCGGAGCTCGCCCTCCTGCACATTCGAAATTGATCAATCTCATTATTACCAGCACAACACTATCTCCACAAGAACATACACGTTTTCAAAAGACTATCAGATTGAAATCGTGTTCGTCAAAGTCGGGACAAAGTTTAAGTAAAATAGACCAAGAAAATCAGTCATCAAGTTAACTGGCGAGTTGACTACGGTTGTCACGCATACTGTTTATGATGACAGGCCCCTACATAGCATGCCTTAAAACAAAACTGGTTTACTGACCTCAATATTTGTAGCAGCCTTAATATCCTCGAAGGAGAGGTTGTCTCCGTCGTTGAACAGAAGTAAGCAGAGTGCTTGGAACAGCGACACTTGAAGTTCTTTGTTACCCTGGAACAATTCAATTTATGTTTTAATTAAATGTTCTGATTTTGCAATTATTTTACTATTACAATGCAACAACAATTATATATACGGTTTGGATCAGAGGTATCTGTTTTTCTCGAGGCATGACGCATGATTGGTTGTTCACGATGATATATTCAAATCATAGAAAGTCGTGGAAAGAAATGAAGGATGTCTCAGTGATAGCTAGTGGTGAAGTGGTGTATGTAGCCGGTACCTGCGCGAAGTGGGCGCGCAGTACGCAGTGGCCGAGGGTGGGCTGCCACTGCAGCTTGCGGCCGGAGTGCTTGGCGAGGTAGAACTTGGAGAAGTGGTCCTGCTGGCGCGTCAGCGTGGCCGGCAGGCGCACGTCCACGGCGCCGTACGTCGGCCAGAACCCCATCGTCAGGATGTACACGCTCAGCTCCAGCCCGCCGCCCTCCGACGTCGCCGCCAAGTGCTGATATAAAGTACATAGTTTAGGACTTCTTATCACCATAATCGTAGCCCATGTTTCACTACTTTCACACAAATTACGTTCTGTAGATATAATATTAAACACTATTTTGTGAAACAGGCCCAAGTCACATATTTTAGAAAAAAATATTACAAAGATAGCATTAAGTAAGTTGATTTAATTCATGGCTTATCAACAGTACTCTTAGAGGATGTCCAATAAGTTTCGAATTACACTGGGGCTCATAAACACAAGTTGAACATGCAACAGCATTTGTTCTAATGGAAATAAAACTCAACATGCTCTCATGGTGGCAAACAGTGAACTGGAACTTTATTTCTTCCGGAAACAGATCAATCATACAGAAGGAATGAAATCAATAAATCTAATCTAGAGTGAAATTAGCACACGGAAATACAAACTGTCATTCCTTATATTTAAATTATCTAATAGTGCCAATAGATGGCGTTAGTTGTTTCATTTGATGCACAAATTCTAACATGTTCAATTGAGCTCGAAGCTAGTCGAGCATCCTCAAATAGATTACATAACTCATGAACATTATTAAAATTTAGTATAGGACCTTCTTCACATTGAATAATGTATACTTATACTTACTTGTTTATAAGTAATATTGATGTCTTTAGAAAGCTCCATGTCTTTGAACATGCCCTCTAGTTTGCACGTGAAGCCTCCTCCGCATTCCTGTTTTAATTTACTCAGCATCGACTTCTCAGCGTCCACTGACGCTGACTTTCCAACCAACAATCTTTTGGCGAGGTCCTACAATAAAACCAAAAATCATAACTCATTAAGTATAAATAAGACCACACAATCTACTGAATGTTATATGTAACTATCTGATAAGATAGAAAGAGAAAAAGAATTATGAGATAGATATAAAGAAAAAAAAAATTGTACCAGGCACAATGCAGCATAAATAAAATAAAGAAGACAATAAAAGATAGCAAATAATCGGAAAAGAAATAGCCGAGTTGGTAGTAATTTCTAGAATAACCCCAACCTCTTGCGTTAGTTGCGTTAGTAAATGCTAATGGATAAAACCTTCAACACATTTTAAACCATAATTATATGATCATTAAGTCGAAATTCATTTAAAAACTCAGACAATTTGGAGTAGCTTATGTTCTCGTATCAGTAAAGTAGATATACCTTCTTATAGAATGCCTCGAACACGTCCTTGCCGTGTATGAACCGGAACAGAACCATGATCTTGTCCAGAAGTCTTTCTAGCTCCTCCTCCGTCGCCTCCTTGTTGCCCGCTCTTAGTTTCACGTCCACGAATTTTGCTGCGAATTTGAAAAATATAATGATTTTAGAATAATATACGATTTACTTGAATGTAATTAAAGCTAAAGAAGTATATGGCGTGTTTTTTGTTGGTATGTATATAACATCACGCCTTTTTTCCTTCATGCCACTGTACAATGTAACACCCACTTTTCACTATTTATGTTATGAGTCCCATGTAATGGGGGGTGAGCCTATTGCCATATACCGGGCACAATTGCGGTCACTGCCAACGAGGCAGTTTTTTTTGTGTGCTACTAGCTTAATCACACTTTGTCTGACCTTAGAATTGAATATGAGATAAGTTTCTGAATAATGCTACTTAATTATTCAACAACTAGATTTGCACGTTTCAGTTCCTTCACTCGCCGATAACTATGAGCTCTTATCTTGGCTTGAAACATAACATAACATAACATCACGCCTTTTTATCCCCGAAAGGGTAGGCAGAGGTGCACATTACGGCACTTAATGCCACTGTAATGTAACACCCACTTTTCACTATTTATGTTATGAGTCCCATGTAATAGGGCTTGGCTTGAAACTAGTCGAAATAAGTCATTAAACAGAATGCGTATAATTAATTTAATATTATATCTCATGATAGTTGTTATATAAAAATGCTATTTAAGTTTGCCTTATAATTAGTGGTTACCTATGAGTTCGGCGGGTTTGTTCTGTCTCTGGTTGATGAAGTACTCGAAGGCTTCCCTCATGGAGTAGAGGAACTTGTCGTTGCGTTGGAAGCAGGTGTTGACGACGTGGTCGAGCTGCTCCTTGAACTCCAACAGCTCGGCCACCATCGTCTTGTCTCGCTCCGGCTCGATTACTATCGTACGACCTTTTTTCTGAAAAAAATAAAAATCGTCTTAGGGGCCGTTCAAATATTACGTAAGCAGATTTTTTACAATTATTTACACCCCATTCCCCCTTGTCAGCAAAAGTAAGCAGAGATCTTGCCCCCTCCCGTTTTGTTTACGCAAACATTTTAAATTATATCTTTTTTCTATTGTAATTTTAATATTCTCTTAGATAACATAACTTCTAGTTCTTTGTCGGTCTTTGCTTGTAATTTATAATTTCAATATAAGGGTTGCCGTTCGTGTAAAAAAGCAAGTAACTACCGATGACGTAATCATCATCTAGACTCCCCTACACCCCCCCATATCATTCGAAATAAGCAAAACAGAGACCCCCCCCACCCCCCATGGTGCTTACGTAATACTTGAACGGCCCCTTATAATGAGATCATTTCTATTTTTTTAATGTTGCCCCACACTAGGATTATCTCCTGTGTCATGGGTGCGTTTACAAACATAGAATATCACATATACATGACACCCAGACCTGAAACAACAATTTGTGGATCACACAAAGAATTGGTCCGTGCGGGAATCGAACCCGCTACACGTTGCGCGGCAGCCGGTTGCCCAACCACCGCGCCGTGCAGTCACATTACCTACTCATGCGCGGTTTCACCCGCTGCTCAGCTCTTAATGATCGTACTTATAGTCCTATGTCCCCTAGATGGGGCAAAGGGCGTCCACAGAGGTTCTCCATCTCGATCGGTCGTAGCGTGATGTATTTATAGCCTTCCTTTACTAATTCCATCGTCGGTCACATAATCGCTTACCATCAGGCAAGATATTGACAGTCAAATACACAAAGAACGCACGAACGAAATACACGAAGAACATTCGGGACGTCAAGTCAATCTCTATCTTGGGGAGACAAGTGAGAGAACATTATCTTTCCTCCTGAAATATAGATCTGTTTGTTTATATTTATATATATGTATCAGAAACAAACAGATCTATAGGTATATTAGGTATATTTATATATTGTTTTTTTTTTATATAATAGTATTGTATTAGTTTGTTTTATTGTTTATTATTGTTATTTCTATCGGTTTCTTCGGTATTATTACTTTTTTTTATTGATATTTATCTTGTTTGTGTAACACACTATGTGTTTTTTTTTTGTTATATCTTTTCCTGCCACAGGCCCACAGGATGAAATTCCAGTTGGAATATGTGGGGCCTATGTACTCTGTTTTTATATATGTATTGTCCTCTGTGTTGAATGTGTGTACATAAATAAATAAATAATAAATAAAGTTAGAATTAGTACTTCCCGAGATTAGCGCATCAAAACAAACTAACTCCTCATCTTACGTGAGAGCAGTTGCTTCATGAGAGATACTGACATTCAGTTGAATCTACAGGGTGTAAACGGAAGCGTTTCCGAAAACACAGACAAAAAAATGATTTTGGAGTTGTAATCATATTATTTTTCGTATTATAAATACAACATCAGTATTGAACACTTGATTACAACTATTATTACGTAAAAGAAACATTTAATTTCTTACCTTTTTGTAAATAAACCTCTTTTTACCATCACCTATATGAGGTTTGGCACCGAACCGTTCGGTGTCGAAAGAACACACTATTGCCATAGAAAGGGTAGAGCTCCAGTAAGTACGAGGGATATAAAGATCATTTGAATGGTACCAACTTACCTTGATATAAGCATTAAAGTGGTTACACAGCTCCGTGAGTCCGTCCTTGACTCTGCTGAAGAGTGTGTAGAGGGTGGTGAGGTCGGCCAGTCGGGGCCCGTCCATGAGGGACTCCAGGCCTTTGCCCAGGATACCCGTCAGGTGCTCGCTCAGCAACTGCCGCTCTATTGTGTGGATTAATTGCCATCTACACAGAACAAAGACAAAATTACACGTGAGAAAACCTGAACAAAGTTTTTTTTACTACCTACCTTAATATTTAATTATGATTTTAAATATTTTTTTTTCAAAACGGCATAGCATGTAGCTCATACTCCTAACTTAACACCATTGGATGTACTCTCGTAATATTACTCATGTTAATGCAAATAAAAAATATCTTTATTTTTATCAAGTTTCTGGAGAAACCAAAAAATCTGAATGAGTGAATGAATAATATCTCTTTCAAGCTTAATATTTCATAAATAAAACTACACATTTTATAAGACGAATAGAAGAAACTCCGATCTAAGCTTTTTCAGACGTCAAGACTTCCAATGCTAATGTCTAAGTTTGTAATCATGGATAGTATCTTAACACATGCCTCCAAAACTTTCAAGACCATAATTTCTACAATACAATGATAACACAGAATATTGTATTGTACTATATCTACTTTTTAAGGAATCAGGGGCAAACCAGACCACTTGATGGTAAGCGATCAGGACCGCCCATGTACAACCGCAACACCCTAAGACCTTTTAAAACGAGTACGCTCTTTTCTTGAAGGTTTTTTTATTGGGGTAAGACAGTAAACGAGCAGTCGGAACCTAATTAGATCACCTGTTTTCACCTAATGGTAAGCAATCGGTGCCGCCCATGGTCACCCGGAACACCAGAGGTGTTACAAGTGTGTTACCGGCCATTTGGAGATTACGGATTTGAGAATTGTTGGGGATTCAGGGATTGGGGAGATTGGTGAGAACGTTAATTGGGCCTCCGGTAACCTCCCTCACACGAGGAAACACAACGCAAGCGTTGTTCCACGTCGGTTTTCTGTGAGGCCGTGGTATCACTTCGGTCGAGCCGGCCTATTCGTGCCGAAGCACACTTAATATAGGTTTTTAAAACTTACTTAGTAGAGGGGTCTAGATAGTGCAGTAGTCTCTCATTCTCCTCTCGTAGCCGCTTCTCGACGTGTGCGAGGTACTGTGGCACTGCTAGCTCTCGCATCAGACGCTGCCCCTCTGCAGCGTACAGGCGCTCCGTCGCTTGTAGGAACCTGGTAAACATACGACATTTATTTGTTAATTCAATCTTATACTATTATATAAAGCGGAAGAGTTTGTTTTTTTGTTTGTTTGTTTGAACGCGCTAATCTCCGTAACTAGAAGTCTGATTTGAATAATTCTTTTTGGGTTGGATAGCGCATTTATCGAGGATTGCTATAGAATATTAAACATCACGCTACGACCAATAGGAGCTGAGCAGAGCGTGTGAAACCGCGCGGAAGTAGCTAGTGGAATTATAAAATTAACAGATCAACATTTGTCAGGTCAGCTGGTAAGTTCGTATTTTATAGGTAATTTAAAGTTCTGTAATTTTTGTGTCCTGTATCTATATGTATAACAACGCGATGTGTGGAAGGCTATGAAGTCGAGGTTAGCTCATAATCACCTGTAAACATTCTATAATTATAAACCGTAAAACTAAAACCAATAATTCCATTTTTCCTTGATTGAGGAAAAAGAAATAAGAAGTAAGGGAAAAATATGTCGAAAATCCAAATCGAAGTAACTTTCAATCTTATAAATATTGTGAATAAGTTTTGTTTTAAGTGAATTCCACGTGCAATGCTAATCACGCGGCGATGGCGCGAGGCTGTCGATTGAATACTGTGACGTAGCCTCGTGAGCGGTCATGAATAGACCCCTCTAATCCAAATACCACGTGACTCGGGGAACCGCAGGGTACAAGTACAAATACTACTATCTTATGAGTAATTTAATTAATGAATAAGTATATTCTTATTTGGTAATTCGATCGCTTCTTTGGTAATTCCGGGGTGGACATACAGGTAGACTATTAAATATTAATGACATGCCGAACATTCCATTCACCAAACAAATACCTGACTAGTATTCAATGCAACACCTACATTTTATGATCCTATTCACATCGCCCACAATCCTAGGTTTCATGTTATTACTGAGAATAATTAGGGTACAAGTTTTCTGGACTCTGCGCCAGTGTCATCACCTTCATATAAGTACTCAATAACTTATGTGACATATAGTTACTACAAATAACGTTCTTAGTTCACATTTTATGGTGCATAGCGGCTAACCAGACATTGTGAAACAAAGGCCTTAGAACGAGTTAAAGTGATCGAAATGAGTACGCGTTCGGCGCTCTTATTGAGCGGCCCCAATGAACCAGCCAATCTATTCACCCTTAGTAAAAAACCGGTACTCATATTTCTTTAACCACTCCAGAATCCAATCCAAGAAATTGGATCAACCAGTTTGTGTAACAAAAACTACCTAAATCGATGTTTCATAAAGTTATCCTACAAATATGCACAATCATATATCGCATCATAATATTAAAAATATCTCACTTGTGTTCAAAAGCATCTTGATATATTTGCAAGTCTGAGAGCATTCGCAGCAGACTCTTGAGCAAGGATATGTCTACAGCATCACCACCGCGCTCCCTCTCAATCAAAGTGAGTAGACCGTCCACAGTCCTGGTCTGAACCAAAGTGTTCATTGCTATGTGGTGCCGGAATAAGTCCAAGCCCATGTCCCTGGAAAGAAAATTAAATTAAATTTTAAGTAATGCTTGCATTTCCTTACATAAATGTTTGGTTTAAAATTATATAGCATGTGATTTTTTTCTACCATGCAAAAATTTTAACTAATTATATTATTCCTATTATTCCATCACGACCTCTGCATCAGTACCGTAATGGAAGAAATTTCAAAAATGACTAAAGTGTACAAAGACCGAATCTCAAGCCATCCAAACAAGCTAGCAGGAAACCTGATGGACACCCAAACAGTTGCTAGAAGACTAAAGAGAAAGATTCCTCAAGACCTCATCTGGGTGGTTGTAAATATAAACAGGGCAGTCACTGGACAGCCCGCGTACAAGTGCTGCATTAAACAAAAATATTGCTGAATATCCATATAATAGATATAATACAAACATAAAAAAAAAATATTCCTAAATGTCGTACTACAATTATTTTTAAGACTTACCATATAGAATGTATACTAGGGTTTTGTAGAACATATGTGCGGTCTAGGTACAAGAAGATGCTTCTAATCATGATCATTTGGCGGCAGTGAGCGCGCCAGCAGTCGTCCATACGCTTGAGGAACACCTGCCTGTCCATGCTCTCAGACAAGAACTGCTCAATATTAGCCTTCACGTGTGCCTCCACCAGGTTCGTTAGATTCACATAAAGTTGTGATGCCATCTAAATAGAAAAATTAGAGAATCGATTATGTTACACTTGTTGGAAATAGGCTGATGATATGTTTACAGAGTTGAATCAATATATTAGATATTAGACTACTAAGTTTTAACTTTTAAACATTCTCAGTAGTAGCACGGAGTCTGGGGTTGTGCCCGATATATATGGCAATAGGCTTACCCCCTATTACATGGGACTCATAACATAAAAAGGGTGTTACATTGTACAGTGGCATTAAGTGCCGCAGGTAGTATGCACCTCTGCCTGCCTCTTCCGGGATAAAAGGAGAGATGTTATGTTATGTCTACTAATGCCTGTTTTCACCAACCTCTCCTAAATTTTAAAGAAACCCTAAGCTAAGATACAGACATTTAATGACAATTTAGCTTTTCAGCAACTTATAAGTGCTACCTTACAGTACATGTTAGTGCAGGTGAATTTGCTTGAATACTGAAAAGCTATTCAATTTTAAGTTGTACTTAAATATTGTGCCATCCATGTATCCATTCATTTTATAAAGAATTTGTAGTGACAAAACTATACTTTAAAATAGAGTAGAAGTAACTTTTAGTTAAAAGATGGTTTATTGGTGGTTGTTGGAAACAGGAATAAGTCTTTTAGATAAAATAATAAAATTTTCCATTCTTATTCTTATTATGACACTGTGAAAAGATTTGTGGTCCAGTGGATATAATTAGTACATTTTTATCACTACTAAAAAGAAGATGTCTCTGACTGCTTAATAAACATATCCTGTACAAGGCAGGGATTTATCGTAATCCCAAAGCCGCAGGTAATTTGAAAAAGCAAATTATTGTTCTTCAAACATTTAGAAGGATGCTGCTTGACCTTTTTTACTGTTCACTGGTTTAGAATAATTATATCTGTTGTGTAGTTCATAATCACATATTATGCGAAATTTTTTGGCATAATGGCTTTCTCTATTCACATGGTACTGATTAAATGGTTTACAAAACACTTACATAGATTTGAAATACCTAAATGTTTAACATTTTTATATGTGCTAAGAAAGTATGTCATATGTGACATGGTTGTTGAGTGGGTAACCTACTACTTATGTAGAGCAGCAGCTGTGGAGCTAATTATTTATTTACTTATTTATTTATGAATTTATGCACAACAGATAGATAGTGCATAGAAGAAAACATATATGTATATGTAAATAAATTGAAGATGCATAGATACTGCAAATTCACTGTAGGAATATCTTCCTACAGTCCTTAGACAGGAAAAACAGTAAAAACTAATTATTATATGGATAAAGATAGCATGGTAAGCTTGTGATAAAGATGAATAGGTTTTGAAGAAATAGAATAATATTATGAATATATTATAGAATAGAATAATTGTTTATATAGTTTATACAGGCTATGTGATTCAAGTTCATCTCACTGGTGATGTAAGCAGAGGATTTTTCTTAGAATAGTGTGTCAGTTGATACAATTTAATGTTTATTTTGTGAAATGTTAATTAAAACCAATTCATAATTTGTATTAGGTAAATAAAACCGGTGAAACCAATATTCAAGTAGAACTTTGATTACTATGTCACTACGAACACTCAAAAATACTCAAAATTGTCTTGTAGATCAAACCTAGGGTCACACAATGTAGTTGCATTTGTAAATATTACTATATGTTTATTTCTTATCTGATAAGAAATGTCATAATGCTAATGAGACAAGTTTTTAATTGTAATATCAATGTCTGGACTTGTCCTCTTGTTTCTAATAACTTAACTGGTAATATATATTGCATTGACGCTATGACAATTTGCATACATTTGAATAAAAATGTGGATTTTATTTCAAATATTGCAATGACTGCATGTAATAAATTAATAAAATTGAGACATTCTACAATGTTGATAATGTCTTGATAACTTTGTTATCATGCAAAATTATCAATTTACGTTGGTATTGGTACTCAGAGATGCCTACAATAGTTGTTTATAGCATAGTTGACTGACAAATGATATAATAATAAGTGCTATGCAGTTTTTGGTAGTGAACTTGAAAGAAGGTGCTATGCATTTTGGAGTAGGTACTTCACCTTGTGACTACACATGTTCTCCACCGCCTGGTACAACTCCTCCAGCGAGTATGCGATCGCCTTGGACGTCTGGATAGCGATCACGGCCTCCCGCAACTTGCTCCATGTTGTCTCTTGGTAGTTTTCTGGAAGATTCGGCTTACCTAAAAACAACGTCCAGCCATTAGCCTCCGTAGATGTCAAATAGGTTATAATCATGACGACTATGATAATAGCGTAAACACACTTTTGAAATTCTTTATAACCAATTTCTTCGTCGCTGCACCAGGCTTGTTCATAGATGACGACGTCATCTTAATGCTTCCATTGGAGTTTGGAGTCAACATTGAAAAATTAGATTTCTTCTCATTGGCACTCATTTCGTCGGATTTTGTTCTTTTATTATTGCACTGTTCGCTGGTCTGGAGAGAACGTTTTCTAGTCTGATTGTTCCCACCCTCCTCGGCCAAAACTGGCGTTTTAGCTATGCCCGACATAAGAAAGCATCATATGGCCGCAGCCACAACACTAAATATTACGATTAATGCTAATTTATTAGAAAATACAAATAAAAATAGATGCAATCAGTCGGTAGTTTACTAGAATCACCACCATTACGATAAGTTTCAAAATTTTATTGACAGAGGGCGCCGCAGATGATTTCACTGCTGTCAAACCGAAAGCATTGTCAAAACAGATACGTTCAATATAATGTAATTTGTTTTTAAAGATTTGTTCAAGGAATGAAATATTGTTTGATTTTTTTTATAAAATACTGTAATTCATATATGTTGTAATTTTTATTACTAATTATTGTATGTATTTACAATAAAAAACTCATTTTACTTACTCTTTTATCATTTGCCATACATTTTGAGCGACCTCTATTGTTTGATATTAGATTAGCATTTAAACAATACTTTTTATTTCTTACAATAGATGGCGTTGTAAGTTGATTTAAAAAATTATTCGACAAACTTGCTTCCTGCTAATTAAATAAAATAAATTCCACCTGTTCGTGCTTCGTTCCCTTTCCATTCGATAAGTAAGAATCATACGTAATCGTAATTTTTCTTACATAGAATACACTAACATACACATAATATTATAACACATGTTATTGATTTGCGATAATAAAGCCTAAAAGAAAATCTTATTGTAAATGTTAGATTACTGTAATTAATTATTATTTAACTGAACTACTAAACTACGTGGCCTGTTCCAAGTTGCATGCAGAAATTTATTCGATTACCTACTTAAGCTACTTATTTAAAAACACTGGTGTGTTATTTCTATAAACAGCTCTTTAGCTTTATTGGCAAATTAGACAAGCTAGGTAAATTTGTTTGCCATCGTACGTTAGAAGCGGTAATCGCAGAGGTGGATTACACTTACAGAGCGCCATAGGGAAGCATCTTATAGGCGGCCCGGGCAAACACCTCATATAGGCGGCCCTAATTTTTATTGGCGCCGCCGTCAGTTTATGGGCAGTGAGACACGCACGTCTTGCGGCGCCTCTCTGCACCGTGGCGCCTTAAGCACTTGTCTATTTGGCTTTGGGGATAATACATTCCTGGTTAATCGACAGCCATAGCTTAGTCGGAAGTCGCATTATGAACTTTAACTGGAATTCTAGATAAGATTTGCAGTGTCAGATTTACATCCATGCAGAATAGACAGGTAAACTTAATGTTTTATAGATACAGTTTAAAAAAGAGGTACCTATGAATGATGATGATAACTTAACCTTTCTTAAACTGAGATACATATTAACTTTCTTTTAATGTGGATGATAACAGCCAAGACTACTTAAGACCTGGGTGCTTACCTACTCCTGAAACCAATCTCAATGTCAATGCAATTTCAATCCAATAAAAACTCAATAATTATTCAATGTCGAAACTTTACCACCCCTATCGTAGCCGTTAAAAATCATTCAGAGTACGGAATATAAAGCCACACTCAATACCATTCATTCAATATCGACGCAATACGGATGCAATAAGCGCTAGTGTTGCAACTCGAGAGTACGAGATTTCACAATACCAATGTCGATCGATCGGAATTGGATTCAAGAGTAAGCTCCCTGAACATGAATAATTGTTACAAAGTTCAATTAAGTAGCAGGTGTAGATACTGGAATATGATATTTCAGGGGTCACTTACTTTAGTAATACGTCGTGTGTCAGTGTGCCCGCTTACAACTTATTGCTTCAATTTGTAGATTAGGGTTGGTTCTTACGCATGCAGTGCTTTGAATAAACTCTTTTACTGTTTTTAACCCCGCCACTAAAAAGGGGTGCTGACGTGTGATGTTTTGACGTAGTAAGCGTGTTTTTAAGAATAAAGAAACTTAATCCTGGAGATTACCTATGGCAAACTTAACCGTAGAGGATGCCCACTTGTGATGCGTAATAGTCCACCGGCAGACTGTCCTGATTATGAGGATGATGACAAAATGTAGAAGGTAAATCTATATAGGAAACGAAATATTTGCAATTAATGATTAAAGTACGTTGCGGAGAACCTAACAGGTTACCGGGGCTCCGGCTCGAAGTGCAGGAGTAGGAACGGGGTGGTTTTTAGTCAAAAAGAGTCTGACACTCCCTCCCGCTTCACCCAGGCGGCAGAAGGCATTCAATGATTTCCTCTCCTTAAAAAAATGAGTAACGTACTGTTTTTTTTATCTTTGATCATCAAGTATGTCTATACAGACGCGAATGGCCTACGATAAGTTGGTTTTGAGACAAATATTGTACGGTTTCATAACCGTACATAACACGTATAGTAGACGCAGCAATATTGAATGCGCGTCACCCAATGCATAGCATATATAATTTAGCGTATTACATTAATCATAGTAGTAGTACTTTATCTATCAACGAACGTCAAGCAAAGAAATACGACAACGTTATTTGTAACTATTACCAAACTTAATATACGCAACTAGAACTTGTGATATTTTCTGTGAGCTACTACACCTTCTACAAACACAAACTACAGTGTAAGGATCTAACTGGATCTTACACGTATTACGTGGTCAAAATAAAGATTTTTCATAAATTTTCAGCCGACTATCTCACATTCCGAAATCCTTGTCTTAATTATGCTTATTTTCTTAGGCTAACACCAATATTATCAAAGAGACCTATTTCAACATCATTACACAAAAAGAACCCTAGAATAATTCCCGCAATGTTTCGAACACGTCATGTCTAATGTTACTTAAAGTCTAACAGTTTCGTCATGAACCGTTCTCCTACACTATCGGGTTTCATACTCGTTTCTCAGTACTTTATGGATGAACCTCGACAGTAGACCAGTTTATGTCATCGTGATACCTACTAGGAATCGTTAGAGATATAGTTACAAAGTGATAAAATGAACGTGAGAAAGGCTTGGGATATAGTTTTTGATTTAATATTTGTGGATATAATGGCTACAAGTGTAGTATAACTGGTGAGCAATGACTCTTGGTTAGGAGAGTAAAACCTAGATACACTAATTTTTAGCAGTTTAATTTGAATTGAACTACAGCTTGGGCTTAAATCCAAACAGAGTTTAAACCCAAAATGCGATTACGATACTTAGTAAATAATAACATAACTTCACGCCTTTTATCCCCGAGGGGTAGGCAGAGGTGCACATTACGGCACTTAATGCCACTGTACAATGTAACACCCACTTTTCACTATTTATGTTATGAGTCCCATGTAAGAGGGGGGTGAGCCTATTGCTATATACCGGGCACATTTCCAACTCCGTGCTGCTACTGAGATTTATTGAAAAAACCCACTAATACTTTGCCCCACTCGGGAATCGAACCTGAGACTACTTGCCTGGCAGTCGCACTTGCCAATGATGCAGTCAACTTAGTTAATAATTTGCAAAAAACACCGAAACTATTACTTATCGGCAAATATTATAATATTATGTACCTTTACCTAACTCCAGCGATCACTTAAGAAACAAGGCGGCAAGTGAATCATCTATTTCAGTCAGATAAAGGACGAATGACTTAGTTCAAGTGATACTTTATTGAGATTTAGATACCTGCTAGTTTTGGTAGATGGTACCCACAAACTAAATGATTAATGAATTTACGAGCGTCTCTGGCCGATGCGGGACACTAATCAAATTGTGATGCAAGGTCTCGCCCACTTGATTGGGCACTGACCTCTTTTGACAATCATCTGTGCTCCATACGACTAAAAAAATTCGTAGAATTACAAACCTAGTACTTATTTTTTTTTCTTAGGCTGTCTTAACAGCATTAAGTTCAAATTTCTAACTAGATTTCCGTAAGTAGGAGTAATATTGTTTTCGTCTTTCTATTCATATCTCCGAGCTTTAGGGACTTAACAAAGGCGAGGATTACGTTCTCCGCGGATTACACCGTTTAAGTCACCCTGAAGTTGACTGTGTTCTGGAGTATTTATGTCGGTTGTCTCGAAGTTGGAGTTACAACCGAAGTGTAATGTAAAGCGCTTCCCTAAAGTACCCATTATCCTGACACATGCCTATATTCTCACTTAAGAGATGGTAAGAGCTGTAAAACTTGAGCGAAAAGCTCAGTCGGGAAATTATTCTCTTTGTTAACCATATGAGAAGGGTAATAACTTCAATATAACAGACAGACAAACTACAAGCCCCATCTGTTGATTTACATTTGACGCAAAAAGTATTGGTCTTTTATAACCAATGCTGCACATTTCGAGGGTTAAAAAAATAAATGTAAATACTTTTGTCCAATTAAAATGTATTGTAATAGTGCGGTGCCAAGTCGGCGATTTGATTACACCCTCGCTGAAAGTGCAGGTCTCGTGGGCGGGGTGTAACAAGTGTCGGGCGGCCGGGACATGTGCGGCGCCCCCGCTTGCCTCCCATTCACTCGCTTCATTCACTGGCTTGCCGGCATTGCGAGACTGACGGCCGCGCGGATCGCGTCGTTTGTCGGCCGTTTTACGGAAAGTGGTTCGTAAGTAAATCGCGCGCGCTACGAAATTTGAAAATGCATAGAGATTAAACGGTGTATCTAGTTTTACTTTTTCTTTTAAAAATGGGAGAACAGGCGTTTAATATATCGGATGAAAATTTAGAACAGCATATTGTTACTTTGTTTGAGAAATTGGAGTGTTTACGAAAGGATGCGAACTCTGGTGATGGGGGTCTGTCGGGGAGGGTACCGGCGCGGGTGGAAGTGCGGACTCTTTCGTTGTGGAAGGCAGTGGTAGCAGAGTGCGCGGCCTCCTTTCTGTATGTGTTCATCGTGTGCGGGGCGGCTGGTGGCGCGGGCGTGGGAGCCTCCGCCTCAGCCGTGCTGCTCTCTACTGCGCTCGCTTCAGGCTGTGCCATCGCGACGCTCACTCTCTGCTTTGCTAACATATCTGGTGAGACTCAGTCAAGTAACGTTTTTCAGGTTACGTATGTCAAAATAGACTACCTACTTGAATCGCCAAAAACAAGCCAGAAATTGATCAATGTAAACAGACATTTAAAGGTAGCAGCGTTTTAAGCAGAGCTTGTCTTATGGAAGTAAATCCCTGTTTTTGTACCTGTGTCAATAGCATTTTTTGCTTGTTATGCTTTGTGTTACGGCACGCCTCTCTTTGTTCCAGTCAATCTGTTCAAACAATAGCGCCAGTTAGAAGAACCCATACCTTTGTAAAATTTGTAAAGATGACATGTGACACCAATAGTTCCTATGCATGAACCGACTGCTTATCAGAATTTCTTAGTGAACGACATGACTTCCCACACTAATTAAATGATATTGTTTTTAACTTTTTCATAAATCGCCCGCGAGGCAACCGTTATATTATTGCGGCAGGTTTCAAAGCTTGTCAACTACCAGGAGCGCTCGACGCTGCCAATAAAATAGGACAGGTAGTCCTAAAATAGCTTTCAAGAAATAAAGGACAAGTACGATTACATTACTGTGGGAACTTGGAATTACAAGTTACGAGGAATCGAGGAATGCGCGCCGTAATTGGCAAGGAAAATAAAAGATGGGCGCCCACGTGTTACAATGTTATTTCAACTTATAATTTCCAATGTTAACGTGGGACGGGAGACCCTTCATTTGCATATTTATTTCTTTTTTTTTAATAAGTGATTGTGCGCTTAACGCAATCCTTATGATCCTTTCCCTTACCGCAAATAAAATGAGAAGTATAAAAACTTCTTTGTTAATTATGCTGCAGATGGCGCCTCTGCTTTAATTTTTTTTACTTTTTACCTAGTACCTAATGGAATGTTTATTACATTACCGAAACATTTATTTTGTACGATATTGGTAGGTACCTACTCTGTTCACCTCGGATTTTATGAACCACAAAAATATTCCAGAAGGCACTACGTACCTAAGCCTGGATTCAGTATTGATATATTCCAACATAACATAAGCTTCCGTACCTATATAAATCTTTTTTGTACATTCAATATGATCCAGTAACTGTATCGGGTGTTTTGTTTTACGATTCATTTTGTCGGAGTATTTGAGACATGGCGTATCAACTGTAAATGGAATCCGTAGTATCGGGTTTGTTTCTGTGTTTTTACTCGATAGTTACATAGTTGGGGCCGAAATGGTCGGTGTCGTGTGTAGGGTCCAATTAACCCTGCACCGTTTGGTAATTTATACGCGTTTGATAGCACAGGCCGTCGCGCGCTCGGATGAGTTACGGACCGAGCCGCAGCGTGCAGATGTTCACAATTATCCGTCTTTTTTTTCAAAAAAGGTTCGGCGCGGCCGTGGCGGCTGCAGCGCGAAAGTCTTGAGTTTTTACCCGTCAAGTAGGTTCTTACTGATTGTATTTTTTGTAAGAAATGTTACGCTATGTTTTAAACGTCTAGGCTTATTTTGGAATGGAATTTTAACTTGCAAAAGAATAAGAATAAAAGACATAAAATGTACCCAGGTACCTACTTAAACGTAAATAATTATTCGCCTTGTGTAACAAAAACATTAATATAGAAACTAATAATAGATACATTAAATGCGGATAGACAATTTTGACGCGACTTCTCATAAAACTACATGACATTTAAGCACGATAGGCGGGATTATTGTATCCTATCCAACACGTGCACCCTTCACCCTTTGTCCCCTCGATATAACTTTATAATGGCGATCACATGACGCGGGACAATGACATTTTAAATTATATCAAAAATAACAATAACCCGGAGAAAGCTCTCTTGTTCACAATCTGGCAACGATTCTTGCATCTACAATGTTCGCGGTTACCGTGATGAATTTTTAGAATACACCCTCGACCGAGTTGCCCTAATTTTCACTAATGGCTGGACAAGTGGACATCCCTATTTCGAGCGCGGACTAATGTACAGCTTCAATCGATGCATAAATTATAATGGGAGATATGTTTAAACCTAGTATAAGTTCAGTTGTCACCGAGTGGCTGTCTGTAGAAGTATAAAGAAGGCACTATTGTCAAGATTCCTTTTAAGTTCTCACTGAGTACTTGTTTGTGCTCGTTCTTTTATTTTAGACGCTCGATGCTGAATTCATTTATCAATGTGTACTCAGGAAGTAGACTGCAAGAAGTTGTATTGTCAACTGAGCTTCCTTTAAAACTTGTCGGGAGTTTTAAAGAACGATAAATAATTCGTCTTTATTGCGATGTTACAGAGCGTAGAGAGCAGTATTATAAATCAGATTTTTGTGAGAAATAACTTGGTATCACGATTCCCGAAGGAGTACGTCATAAAAGTTCTTTGTCAAAAATATTGTCTCTTAAAACTTCAACGTAAAAATAGCCCACGTTTATTCTATCTGTGTTCGTATTGTAATGTGACTGACGTAGTTTATATAAAACAGATGTTAGGCTTTTGTTCTTTTTTGTAGATCGTATCACGCCGAAGGCTGTACACACAGTTGGTGATATTCCCTGGTTCACTGAGAGCTACGTAACACAATCTGAATAATCGATAGGCGTAGTAGTTCGACTTTGCACTCGATATATCTGTGTCGCGTCGCATCGGTTAATCCACCTGTTTCCATTTTATTTTTTTGCGTTCCTCTCGGTACACGCGTTACTTTATACCAGTACAGGTTTATACATGATTCTGTTTAATGTTCAAATTGATTTTGAATATTGATAACCCAGAAGGTTGTGTGATCCTCCGCGTAGATAAAACAATAATGTTTGAGCCTACGCATTGTGTTGGATATTCATATTGACACATCTGGGCACGTAGTGTTAACGTTCTTGATATCGCATTTCTCTGCAGTACCCGGGGGTGGCACACCTCAAGGCATCTACTGTATCTTAGCTATTATATTACCCGGAACGCAGGTAAACATCCGGCCAGCCATTATCGCGTGGCCACTATGGTGATTCCTCCACCGACTCCGACATGGGACCGAATATTCGGTGCGAATACTAACGTGGATGATTTTATCTCGCCACTGAATTTGTTATTCTGAACGTACGCTTCGCAGATAAGTTAGATTTTACGAAAACAATATTTTAATGTGGGAGGGAAAATTCAGGGAATAATCGTAGAGTACTTAGTCAGCGCCGTAACAGCTGGCCAACGGGCCACGGGGCCGAATTCATTACGTACTTAAGGACTCTCAGATTGCATTGCTATGTAAAAATATGTTTTATGTCAATGACAAAATGGTGGTTTTTGTACGACTTGTTCTTTTAATACAAAGGAAATGTGAAGGTGAAAATTATGTGCGACACCAAATCAAGTCGGTGTTGAAATGTTACTTTGGTGTGTGATGACTTTGTATTCTGAAAAAGGGAAGTTTGTTAGCGCCGCGTGTGTTCCGCGTTTTTCTGCGTGTTATGTGTCAAAGCAACCATTATTTTGCATTATAAACCCTATTCCATTAATAAAATATTTAATCACAAAATATATTGTGGATAAAACATATTTATTAAACCAGTAAGTTGGTAGGTACTCTCTACCCACGCATTCATAAATTCGGTACAATAATTACAGCTACAGAAACCAGATATAAAATAAAATATGAGCCACAATTCACACACCAACCTGTAAATAAACAAACTTGTAATTAAAACCAGAAATTATAATATCCATGTGTAGTTAATTATGGAAAGGTTTATTAATAAAATATTGGTACTTACACAGAATGACAGAACAATAATGTAATTACTACGCTACGCAGTGGTTATGAACTTGACTTTCAGCTAGAGAGCTACGGACGACCTACCGGGTTGCTAAGGCTCCGGCTCAAAGCAGAAGTAGGAACGGGGTGGTTTTTACTCGGTAAGAATCTGACACTCTCTCGCCTCACCCAAGGCGGGATAAGATTCCGGATAATTTGTCCCCCTTAAAAAAAATAGGTGGTTTAGTGTTTTCAATGAAAAAAAGCAGCAACACTTCTATAATACAAGTAAACTATTCTAATTTCATTACAGTGATAAAAATTTGGTGTTTTATCATCGCTAACCTACTTTCGTCCCTTGTCTGGCACGCCAACATTGGAGACTACTTGTACCTTCACAATATTCCAATAGTAAAACATATTTGTTTAAAAATTGTTCGTGTAAAACAAAACAAAGGAATGTCGCCGTACATTTGGTACATTGCCGCACGACACGTCCACGTCACATGTCATACGGCCATACTAATACCAAAATTAATTGCTCAGAGCTCACATCAATTTTAATCTCTTCATAAAGACCTATTATGCGACATCGTACCAAAGTAATACTCGACAAAAATAAATAAATCACAATTTGTTAAGCTTAGGTAAATAAATTGTAAAGTTTGTGCCAAAAGCTTATTGTTGTCAGAGCTTTAGACTTCAAATGTTGATCAGTACAATCCCAACTTTATCATTCCCTTGATCCTCCGGTCCTCAAACAACGACCTCCTCTCTCCCTGCCAGGCCTCGGTTATTAAATCCTCCTGAAAGTTTCACTTAAAATAACTAACAATAGATTAAATGTGTTTGATGAATTCTGTGTGGTTTTTTAGTTCGGATAGTGAAATATGTTCGTGTGAAGGTCTTAGAATAAATATTTTTGCCGGAGCTTAAAGAATAGGGTTGTTTTATGGATTAAATATCGATATCTACTAGTTTGCGTTCAAAAACATTCTAGAAGGACAATAACTAGTCTTGAGGCTTGCCCAATAATTGATTTACGAACATATTGCATATGACAATAGCTATCATAATAAATAATAAAGTAGATACTTATTGGATGTGTTACACAACAGCATGTATTTCATCCTAAAGGGTAGTCAGAGATAATGTACTTTTAACAAAGTGATAATTGCACTCAGTTTTAGAGTCTTTGGAATTTAAGGTGACATTTATCAATTATAACATACATAATAATTATATACTTTGAATACTAAATACACATTATTGTACAGGTGCTCACGTGAACCCGGCGGTATCGGCAGCGCTATGCGTGCGCCGGCGCGTGTCCCCGCTCCGAGCTGCGCTGTACGTCGCCGCGCAGTGCGGCGGGGCCATCGCAGGCGCAGCCGCTATTTATGGGTAAGTCATATGGCCTGATTTTTTCACCAGCTGTGTCTTCACCACCTGTCCAGGAAAGGACTTGATGTACTATGGCATTAGTTGGGGTTGCTCCCTGATTTCTGTGTAGTGTCGCATCGTGCATTCGACCTGTGATATATTATAACAATCTTGGAATTGAATTTATGTTTAGAAGGGATAAAACAAAAGAAATCATATTCATTTTGAACAAATTATGCTTTGGATTTTTTTGCGTAGCATACAAGGCGACTACGTAAAAAATTATCAATTCAACAACTTAAAACAAACAACAAACTTAAAACAAACAAACAAACTTAAAACCATTTTTATTATAACTTGTTTAGAGAAATTATGAAAGAAAAAAAGTAAATAAAATGCACGCGATTGTAGAATGTATCTAATCCAGTATTAAAAACCAGCTAATAGCAAAAATTGGTCCTGCGATATCCTTAAGTGTTCTACCTATACATAATACATATCTTATATTTATTAACTACTAGCTTTTACTCGCGGCTTCGCACGCGTCACAAAAGGATAAAAAGTAGCCTATGTGACATATACCAATACACAAAGCGCCATCTATACCAATAATTTCGTTTTCCCTCGATAATATACATTTTTTCCGGGATAAAAAGTACCCCATTATTTAGGTAATCCAGACTTCTAACTTTACGTCTGCAAAATTTCAAAGCAATCGGTTTCGTAGTTACGGCGGCGTGAAAGTGGAACAAACAAACAAACAAACAAACTCACTTTCCCATTTATAATATTAATATAGTAAGGATAAGGATTCACGATCTCTTTGTTCTGTTACCAGCCTGTAATATTTATTTCAAACGATTACAAGCCCTACAAGGGCTGCTTCACAAGTTATTTAATTATAAATTACCTTATTAATATTGTCGGTCAGTGAGTGACAAGGGATTATAATAATTAATCAACGTTGTCTATTATTCACCACTGTTATATGTTCGCTAGTCTGCGTTAAGTGTTAGGGTGATTTGGGACGGCTCTCATAGTTTATGGAAGTTCTTAGCCGTGAATGGTCAGCTTTAGAAAACATATTTTCCAAAAAGCCCATTTCACATAAATAGGAATGAAAACAACTACATTCTTTTGTTTTTTTTTTAATGTAATAAAATGCGAAAATCATAAATTTTAGCTACCAGCGAATTTTAGAGATGAGTAATTATGTCGTACTCAGCTATCAAACTATTATTTTATTTATTTTAACTGTGATAATAGGTAGGTACTTCTTTTTACCCTTCGAATAAAATGGAATAACATTACGGCGGATTTTTGCGAGAACGTAATGAAACCTTAAAGAAAGCGTCATTAATTATAGTCGTTTTTAAATGACAATAATTGATGAAATATCATCTATCGAATTACCCATTATAATCCATTAAACAATTATTTTTAAATGTCAGTAACCTTTTAAGGTGACCAAATCGTTTATTCGTAATCGATTATAATTTATAACCGACTCGTTATCGATTATCGGGTTTAATAATTTTATGTTTTAAACTGTAATTTATTCGCATTCCGTCGGGATGAATAAATGAATTGCTCCGTCAATCGAGGATTAATATTCTGTTGTTTAAATTTGCGGTTTTTATCTTTATACAAGAAAATAATGTAATTAATTTAAATCCATGCGGTGTAAGCCTGAATGTTTATCTTAACACGACATTATTGGAGTGTGAATACCTATTTAATGAGAAATGTACTCTCTGGTTTATGTTTTAATGACTTGACCTACATTGTATTTTCGTAAATGGGAACTACGGTATCGAATATTCGAAAACTGCAAAGACAATCGGTGGCTTGCATGGATGCAATCGGTTTGGGACTTCCTTACCTATAACATATTGGGAGCTCCGATTTTAAAATTCACATTACCATCACGATGTTGAGAATTGATGCAATGTTGAAGGTGTTAACACTACAAACAAACAAATAAAAATAGCTACAAACAGACTGACAGCTTTCTACAAATCCCGCAGATACCAATATCGAAGATAATCCTCAAATAAGATAAAGTAATAAGACACTATCTATCGTATTCAAACAACATGGAGTATTAATACAAACAGAGTGACATGTTTGCTTTAAAATGATATATTGATACAAGTACCAACTGATATGAGGCACGGAACTGTGTTTACTGTCCGTCAGATAGGAATTTCAAACTATGTGGTGAATATCGTGTGGCAATGAGACTTGATGGGCATACAATTACTGTATAACGCTTGTCAGGTGTCACCCTGTATCAGACTGAACTGGAGACGTTAGTTATGGCTTGTAGTACAGAATGTGAACAATATGAAGGGTAAAAACAGTGAAAGTTATGTCTCGTTTTTGAATAAGCTGTAGCAAAAATGGACTTTATTACCTAGATACGTTCATTGAAAGTTGAAAGCTGTATGTTTTAGTTGTTGAATCAATCATTCGATATGAAAATTATTGTAAACTATCAAATCATTGAGTGGACTAAGTAAATGCAAATCATTCACTGCAGTAAATGTGCAAAATGTACCTACGTCAGTCGTCAGTCACCGAAGAGAACACCGTAGAGTCAAATCTGTAATGATATATGTAGTTAAATAAAATAAGATTTGTGTAAAAATATATATTGTTTAAGTAGCAAGTTCTCTGAGTACTTAGAATTTTGTTACTTTGAAGGACGTCACAGAAAGGTCGACAATAAAGTCTCACTACCCAAAAGTAGGGAGCGGAAAGTTTTTAACATGAATTATTGTTACAAAGAAGTTTGGTAACGAACCTATTTTATTGCAACTTCTGGAGAGCTGCCATTGTAAGTGAAATCAAAGAGTACTCCGGCTCCAACTACTCCGTACATTTAAATTGGACAGTTTATGTATTTGTGTAAATGTAATCTAAAACTAAAATGAGTAGAAGAATGTTCAGTTGTAAAAACAATGTTACAAGCCCCAGTCAATTGTTTTTTGGAAACTTATTCAATTGTTTCTTAACCCATTTAGACCGATAATTACTTTCGTGTAAAATTTTAGTTATTTTAACTTATATTCATTAAGAGGGGTACAAACAACAATAAAAAAATATTAGAAAAAATATACAATTACTGAGGAGACGTAGGGGGGGTGTACCATATCGGGTACAGTAGGACTATATGCATACAAATATACAAGATTTTCCAATAAGCGAATTTATTTATTTTTTTGTTTGATACATATTAAAACATTCCGGGATAAGGTACAGATATTTTATTTTTTTGTTCCTGCGAATAGCATTCAGTTTTGTGTCCAGGATTTATGCCAACTGTATTGGAACACACTGAAACCATGCTATTATCGTGCCACCTACAAATTATTACATCATCAGAGACGCGATAATAGTAGAAGCCTCTTTCCTTTTTTTTCTTCTATGTGTCTCAACAGGCAAATTATTTATGTCGATGTTATCTTCCACACGAGTCTTCATCAGTTCGATCCTCATGGGAAGGGATACTGTCAGTATAGTGTTGGTAGTAAAAAAATATCTCTTCCCTGATTACTCATATCATCATCTTCTTCAAGAACTATTGCAATTTCGTGCAGTGTCAGTGGTCTGAAATAAAAATAAAATAAAATCAGGTTTAGATATAGTTATCTATTAGTATACTAGATAGTAGGTACAAGAAGATGTTGATGTTACATAAACCTACTGTACCATATGCGGTACACCTTCTTTACGACCAAATATATCTTACTAAACTAACCTTACCGAAAATTGTTTATATGTATAATGTTTCTTTAGACCTACTCTGCAAAATAGTAACGAAAAATAATATTATTTACAATAAATAATATGGAACTTACCTTTTCGAAGTCATTGTATATATTTCCTATAGTCCCCGCTGGGTGTCTTCAATAAAATTTTCAACGAAATTTGAATAAAAATACTGTTGTATTGTTGTTAATGTAAAACTAACACTCTGAGCTAATTGTTACAATTAAAACAATAAAATATTAATTTGTGGGTAGGCCAAAATATTTTTATAAACTTACTGTACCATATGTGGTACAGTAGGTCAAAATGGGTAAAAAATTGAATAAGTTTCCAAAAAACAATCGGTCGGTTAAGCATTGCCATACAACGTGGCAATGCTGCCAGCCTTCTTGGTACTTTCCCCACTAACGTCGATGCGGACGAATTTTTCGACGCTTTATGTAAATAGTTGTTTTTGTTTTTTTTCTTATAATTAATTTTAATCTTAAGTTGTATATACTTAATTTAGTAATATTTAGTTGTAATTTTTTAAAGTAATAGTTAGTTTTTAATTTAAGTTTTTTATTTGAATATAAATGAATTGTTTCTCATACCTAACATTATTACATGATTAATAATTAATTGATTATAGAGTCTTAATTACACTCACTAAGCAGATATCTATTATGTGGAGAGATTGAACAGGACCACATTATAATGAACAGAAACCCCAATAAACACATAGGTACTCCTAAAGCCTACCTATGCAATGTAAACAAAAAAGCTAATCGACAAAGGAAACCAGGTGATAGACCAATAAAGTCAATGTTGCACATATTTCGTCTACAACTCACAAAACTACAATGCGCAATACATTTCTTCTGAGAAAATATATCTAACAATGGCGATTGATGCCTGCTGTCACACGGGCATTTGTCCAAAATCTATTCTCCCATATTGTCCCACGCAACTACACCTTCATACTGATTTATACAGCCAGATATATAACAAAGAGGTTTTATACAATAAGCACATTCGGTTTTCGACCTCTTTTGAAAGAATTTCTTTGAAGTGCAACGGATTTTTACCTGAGCCCACCAATTTGCACGGTTCAATGAGTTTTGATGTTAAAACTTGTGCTTTTAACTGCTTTGCTTTAGAGAGTTATTTCATTATAATGTTAAATATTTAATTGCTGTTCGTGTAGTAAAGTTTTCGATCTCATTGGATTACAATTAAAAAGTACATTTACTTTTCATAAACTCAAC